AATAAATAAAATTTTTTGGCTTAAATAGTTGAGCAGTGGCTTTTGCTAAAATCAAATAGAAATAAACATTTTTTTCTATTAAAAGTGATAATTGGTGAAACTTTTTTTTTATATAATAAAAACAAATAGGAGTTACATGTGATAATTTATTATTTCAGCAATATTACAGACCTACACTTTCACCCACAATGATGTGGCAAAGGAGTTGGGGCACATGTCATTGAGTGTATAACAAATCAAGAATTGACACATATGATATCACATCATTGTGGGTACCATTGTGGGTCTCAAACATTTTCCTTATTGTTCATCTAGATTTTTTAGCATTTGTGAAATATGATAAATTCCGTTAATTTTTTTAATATCAATTGTCAATTAAACAAACTACAATAAAAATGAAATTTTTTTTGGCTCAAATTGCTAAAAAGTGACTTTTGTTAAAATAAATAGAAATAAATGTTATTTTTTAATAAAAGTGATGGTTCGTGAATTTTTTTTTTTATTTAAAAAAAATGAGGGTTATAGGTGATAATTTGTTGGTCATCTAGAATTATTTTTAGATCAAATGAGAATACTATTCTAAGCGTGTTTCCAATAAGACCTCAAAGTAAGTTCACCGGCTATGAGTACTATCCAGAAAACTCAACCCCATACTCACATAAATGCAGCACACAAGTCCTCACCCTTATACTAACTATATGCAAACGTTCTCATCAAAACATAATGAACCCATTGTGGTAAACACCATTTCCTGCGAATCCAAAATATTCAAACCTGATTCGCTCTGATACCAAGTTGTCACACCCCACTTTTTATTACCAAGTTAACATTACAAAATCCATCGTTATAGTCCATGTCGTTAATACAATATGGAAAGGAAATAAACTGACATCCATAAAGACATAAAGGTTCCCTTAACCGCATATACAAATTGAAATGCAACATGAATTACAATTAAGTAAATTGGCCGTAGGCGTACACTATTACATAAAAGAAAAATGGTTCAACCCTCTTTGTATCAACGGTGTTCCGCCAACAAATAAAGTTCTCGTGGCCAACACGTAAGGAAGATCACCGATCTTGTATCACTTATCAACTTGTACCTGAAAAATAATTAACAAAGTGTGATGAGCATGAAACCTAGTAGGGATCTCAACATGATCCTAAATAATAATAACATATAGATAACTATGATCATGAATGTTTCATATCATACAATATAAATAATATGATGGTTCATAATCAAAGTATACTTATATATATACGTTTTCAAAAATTCGTTCAAATTGCTCAACAATACGTAACGTTCTCTTTTCCTTCTCTTACATTATCCATTTCAAAAAGAACATATATTAACAACACGTTTTCGATAACATGTTCACAAAACCAAATCACCTTTCATTCCTTACACTCCTAACCCATCACATACACGTATTTATAATACGTGAATGACATTTCCAAGCCCTAAGCCAAGGGTAATGAAACATTTCTATGACCCGTTCAACACAAAAACTTACATACGATACCTTTAACACGAAAAAAATAAAATAACGTACATGCCAAGACTACGACAATATCACACGAGACAACCCGACCTCATTAACCAAACCACTACAACATATGATATATACAGATAAACCGATTCAACACTAAGGCCTCGTTTGTGAACAGGCTAATTTAGTAACTTTTTGGCTATTTGGCTAAAAAGGTAGCTAAAAAAAACTTGTATGTTTGGGATGACTTTTTGGCTAATTACGAAAAGATGTGCAAAAAGTAGAGAGAAAAGAGAATCTTTGACTTTTTGGTATGGGTTGTTGGCTTTTTGGCTAATTTAGTAACATTTTGGCTTTTTGGCTAAAAAGGTAAGTTCCCAAACGGGGCCTAAAACTCCCAACTCATGCTCTACCTGCCTCAAGCACGGTAGGCCAAGAATACACCTTTCCACAATGAAATGTTAATTTAATAGACACAAGTTGGGAGGGAATGATACTTCTGGCAAGTTCTCTAGGCATTCGCTGGAAGGTACTGACACCTTTTATTCTAAGGATAGCCAATTCTCTAGACGCTAAATGGAAGGTAATGACACCTCTCATTCTAAGTGCAGTATACATTACCAACCATCACGACACACTAAAAGCATAATAACACAAGTGTAATACATATACATAATCTATTTAACACATTAATGTCACCTTCTACCGATGACCAAGAACAAAACATCTAATCACATGTATTTATTACCCATAACTACAACCGTCCAATAATTGTGGAATATAAGCCCAACAACAATAATAACATATATCAAATGTTCAAATGTCCAACCTCCCGTTTATTTCTTAATTTATAAAAGAGTTATAATTCTGTTTTCCTTTCAAAATCAATTTCCTTATTTTCCCAATTCACAATACTCCAACCATGTTTAAAAATCCCGAATCTATAGTTAACCAAAACCAAAACTACAACTCAACTCAACATATATTTCTCAAACAATTTCAATATCTTAGTTAGCTCTCTTTTTAGCAATTACTACATTAATACAATCTGCATAATACATAACATAACTATTACTTAACTTTTTCCCTTTTTATTTCATCAGACCTTTAATAATAAAAAAATTAAGATTTTTCTTTCATTCATAACATAAACAAAAAAGGCTACCTTCCAATACACCAAAACCTTCCAAAAACATACAATTTCACTTTTCATAACTAAAATCCAAAAACTCCTTTACATGAATTTGAAATCACATAGCTAAATCGTATCTTTTATGCAATAGAAATATAACCACATGTTTACCTATAAGGCCCTGTTTGTTTTGAGAGATAAAATGGAGGAGATTGATAGTGAGGGGATTAATAGTGAGGGGATTGTTAGTGAGGGGATTGATAGTGAGGGGATTAATAATGAGGAATTGTTAAATTATTTTTATATAAAATAATAAAACAAATAAAAAAATATAAAAAATTAAACATTATATTTAAAAAAAAATTCCCAATATATAAAAAATAAAAAAATTCCTAATCCCCTCACTATTTTCTAATACCATCTCTACCTCCTCCTTACCAATCTCCCTTCCAAGGGTATTAGGCCCCGTTTGTTTTAGGTTATAGGGAGGGTATTGGGACTAGTAATACCAAAATATTACTAATGCCCTTGTTTGTTTGCAGAGATAGCCTTGGGACTATTATGTTTTAGGCTATAGGGAGGGTATTGGGACTAGTAGTAATGGTATTACTAGTCCCAATACCCTCCCTATAGCCTAAAACAAACGGGGCCTAAAGAAGTATTGGAAATGAGCAAAGAAATCCCTACCTCTAGCAAGAAAAGGAGAAAACTAAAAAATTCAATTTCAACGAAAACACGACATGCTCAGATTACTAAAAAGCTCTCTTTGTGCTCTACGTTTTGATATATGGAACTAAGGGTAGAAAGTGAGTGGAATTGGATGAAAACCAAGTTAGAATGTTTGAAACCCTCAAAAATGGTGGAAGAGAGGAAGAAGAGAGAGATAAAATGATCTAGATTTGATCAAAAAGTGACTTTTTAAAGTACTACACCTAAACAGACCGTTGAAGTGATGAAACGTTCGCTCGAGCACAGAACGTAAACTCCCATAAGTTTAGATTTGTAAAAGTACTTAGATGACCTATAAGACCGCTCGAGTGAATAATCCGTTGCTCGAGCGATGAAGAAGAAAAATTTATAGGTTGTCACATTCCATCCCACTCAGAGTACAAGCTTAATAAAAACCCAATAAATTTGGGTTACGCTACAGGCCTTTGAGTCCAGTTGAGCTTTTACACTTTGTTTGAATTGTAGAGTAAGGGAAAAAATGATTATGGTTTCTTATCTGGGTAAGAAAAAAAATTATTTTTTCACATGTTTGGATAAATAAATAAAAAAACAAATTATATAAGTAAGATTTAAATTTTTTATTTTTATTTTAAGGAGCAATGTGTATATTATATTATAATTTATTTTTTACTAAATCTCACCACTTTAAACGTGAAATGAAATGAACAAAATAAAAATATTTTTTTCTCGTAATTTTTTATGAATAAATTATAAATACATCTTTTGAAATTTGTTTAATATACGATTTGTCCCTTATGATTTTGAAAATTACATATTGCCTCTTGAAGTTTTCAATTTTATAACAAATGGACCATTTTATTAATAAATTATCAAGTCAATTAACAACTTTTAATGTTGTCAGAAATTTATTTCAATTAATAATTTATATAACTTTATTATTATATAGAAGAGCAGTTATGAATTTCAGGTAGCGTTTGGTAGAATTTTCTAAATATGATTTGAGAATAGAAGTTGTATTTTGAATTTGTGAGTTTTAAAATTATGATTTAAGTGTAAAAAATTTGTTTGGTGAATGAGTTTTGAAAAGAGTTTTGAATAGAGTTTTGAATTTTTGATGTGACATATGATATTTGATACAAAAACTTACAATTCATAACTAAACACATAACTCAAAATTCTATTCAAAACTCATAAAAAAATTTAAAAAATTTCGATTTTTTTATTTAAAATATAAAAAATAACAGGTGGCAATTGTAAAAAGAATAAAAAAAATGCACTGTTTTGATCAACTGGCCAGACGTTTGGGAAGATGACCGGTTAGTCTAAATTTTCTTGCCTTGGACAGAGTTTTCAAAAGTGAGTGTGAAATTAATTTTTAAAAATTATAAACAAACATCACGTGCAAACTAAAGGGTGAAACTAAAGTTCCAAACCTCTACCAAACTAAGCCTCATTTCTTCACTTAATTCTAGTAAGTAAAATTTTTTGACAAGGAATATTTATAATTTTTTAAATTACATGAAGTAATTTATATTTTAAATATATCTTAGAGGGTGTTTTTGTATTTTAACTTTTTTTCATTTAATTTATGAATATAAATTAAAATCACAACATCCAAAAGTGTTAGAAGGGACATGTCTGTCTTTTTCGGCAAGGAGATTGGGCATCCCCTTCCAACTGACTCATTCTTTTGTCATCTCTTTTGTCACTCTCTCTTTCTCTCTCTCTCTCCCGCTCCATGTAGGAATCTCTTATCCCTTCCTTTCTCACACAATTTCTCTAACAATCCAACAATCTGTGTGTCTGGTTTTTGTGCTTCTGCAAAACAGATCGATCAAAAAATGATCTCACAATTAGCAAATACAGGTTTAACGCTTTCGAACAAGATCATATTTAGGTTTTGAGCTCTTGATTCTATGACTCTTGAGAGAAAATCATAGGAAAAATATCGGAAATTTCGAGGTCTGTTTGTGTGTAGAGCAACGATCGGTAGGTGAAACCTCTTGATCCTTTTGAAGACTGTGAAGTTGCAGTCTTGCACAGCACTTTGAGCCTTTTCAGGTGTGTGATCATGGAACTCGCTCGCTTTCTGTTTTATGATCTTCTGTGTACTTTGAATTGAAAGATTATTTAATCATTCAAAGCTGATTGTTGTGTCAGAGACTGTTGAATTTTGTACGAGTCTGTGTGCGTGAGAGAGAGCTAGAAATGTATTTTGTGATTAATGATAATTATTTGAAGAAAACTGCCTAAATTTGAAGAATTCTAATTTGTAAACTCAGTAACGTTATCTTGAAACTGTCTTTGTTTCCTACTTTGAATTTGTCTATTTTGTACAAATTATAGTTTCACCATTGAGCTCGTGCAATTCAAATAGCTGTGAAAAAAATCAATTTGTCAGTCATGAAAATCAGGACTAAAGAAATTTAAAAAAGAAAAAACATATCATATAATAGAACCTAAACTATCTATTGCTTGTGATCATTAACATAGATCACCTACTCATAAACATCTATTGCTTGTGATCATTAATCCATATGTCAACAAATTGATTAAACTTTACATATATCCATATGAATAGATATAGGTTGAGTATTTGTTTTTTCTCTTATACATATATATATATATATATCATAATTATTGTTGTTTTCTCGTAGGTCTTAAGGAGGTGAGATGGGTTCTCTGCAAGGACCGGTTATTTGCCCTGCTGTCCGAGCAAAACAAACTGGGGTTCACCCTGTGCCTGTTAATGGTCCCTTAATGAAGGCAAAAGTACTTAGAAGTGGATTCTGGGGAATCAGAGGAGTCAATGGTACTAGGATTAATGTGTGTCAACAACTATGTATGCAAATGTACAAGAAGGTGCAATGTAGTTTCAGTTCATCATCCAATGGTAATGGAAGCATGGCTGAGAATTTCAACGAAAATGACGAAGATTATGTCAACTCTAGTATAGTTGAAGCAGGTGTCCTAAATGTGATTGTTCCAATTTTTTTTTCTTAAATTCCGTCGTATTTAATGCATTTGTTATGTTTGGTTCTGCTTTTGGAAAATGCATTTGCTTATTGTTCCGTAAAAGAAACAATTGAAATTTTGATCAGATGCCTTGTTTTGTCCTTTTTATATCTATCAGAAAATAGAATGGAAATAACAATCTCCTAACACAAACTGTTAAAATTCTTTTGGAAAATGTATTTGCTTATTGTTCCGCAAAGAAACAATTGAAATTTTGATCACATGTTGTGTTTTGTCGTTTTGCTTTCTATCAGAAAACAGAAAATGGAAACAAGAATCTCTTAACACAAACAGTTAAAATGCTTTTGGAAAATGCATTTGTGTATTATTCTGTAAAAGAAATAATTGAAATTTTGATCAGATTTCGTGTTTTGTCATTTTGCTTTCTGTCAGAAAACAGAAAAATTGGAAACAACAATCTTTTAACACAAACAGTTAAAATCTTATGATAGTATACTGTGTGTTATTTTTGCTACTTGCTAGAGCATGAAAATTGTAACAGAGAACATGCTTTTGATGTTCACATAAACATCCTTCTGCACCACTTTTCCATTCAATTTGGGAAACAGAGAGAGGGGTTTTCAAGAGGAGTGAGAAGACACCCTTTTTACATATTTTGGAACCTACCTTTGTGGCTTGCACTTCTTTAATATTCGTGTTTCTATAATTTTGGATCTCTTAAGCTATAGCAGTATTATTTTTTATGAATGGCAACTATAATCATGTTGTCCTAAATTCCATTGCCCTTGGTAGTGTGCTGTTGGCTATATACTTCTTCACTCCTTTGCTGAAAATATTGTTGCTGTTATTATACACATTGTATCATTTTTGATGTTTGCGTCTGTTTGGATTCTTCTTGTAGTTGAGGTGAAGAGTGGCCCAGATGGTTTCATGATTAAGATGAGAGATGGTAGGAATTTAAGATGTGTTCATAACAACCCGCAGAGTGGGCATCTGCCTGATTATGCTCCACATCCTGCTATCGTACTGAAGATGGAAGATGGGACGGGTCTTCTCCTCCCTATAATTGTCTGTATGTACATATTGCATTTGTTTGTTTCTAAAATAGTAGAATTTTCTTTTAGGATTGTGCATTTGTAACTTTTCTTTTACTCTCAAGTTACGAGTTGCTTGTATTTGTAGTGGAGATGCCAAGTGTGCTGCTTATGGCTGCCATACGCAATGTCCAAATTGTAAGCTGTCATATTTCACTTGGATCCCTTTTTATTTTTTATTTTTTATTTTTTTTAAATGGTTGTGCTAAAAGATGTCAGTTGTTAACTACTTTTCAGGCTAGGCCTACCATGTATCAAATTGTGAAGGAGATGATTGACAAAATGGGCTATGAAGTAAGTTTGTGTTTGGGTCTCACGATTATCAATGCTACTCTTTGTGATTCCTTCATGTCTCTTTATAAGGATTCCCTTTAATATGTTTGCTTACCACTTGTGCAGGTGAAGCTTGTTCGAGTCACCAAGAGAGTACATGAGGCATATTTTGCTCAGCTATACCTCACAAAGGCATATTCCTGCTAACCCCCACATTTTGTTGATTTATTTTTTCAACCATGAAAGTTTCTTTAAGTAATGTACTAATGCTAAGTTTTTTGGGATCTCAGTTGGGTAATGAAATGGAGAGTGTCAGCTTTGATCTTCGACCTTCAGATGCCATTAACATTGCAGTAAGATGCAAGGTACTTTTGCTCATGTTGGTAATGGAATTGCTTTGCTGGACTTGTATGGTTGTTTATCATTATATACACTTTATCTTGCATGGTTTTAAAATTACTTCTTTGTCACAAGATAGTATGAGATAAAAGTTTTGGAAAAATCAGGTGAGTGTCTCCCATTTATCTGAGTAATATTGGGCCATGACGGTGATTTTTGGTAGGATGTTCCTAGTGTCTGAAGGAAATATCATAGTATTTTGTCGGAAATTGAATAAAAATGAGAGGAAGAGTAAAAAAAAAAAATTAGAAAATTAATGGAGAAGTCCTATTCTGTGGCCCCACATATGGGCAATGGTTTGTGATAATAGATGCATCTCCCCCAGGGGTGGACCTAGAGATTTACTTCAAGAGGGACGTTGTTACATGTACATCTCATGTCTTACATGTAAGCATATATAATAGATACAAGGTGAAATTTGACTTCAATGACTCCAGTTTAAGGTGTAATAGATATGAGTTAAAAAGTGATGAACAGAGTTAGATTGTCTCTGTTAATTAGTTGGACTATGTTGACTTAATTATGAAAATTTGAGAACTTGAATAGAAAATTTAAAGTTGGAGGATGATATTTAAAACTCGAGCAAAGATCAAGGGTCAAAATAATACTACTCAACAAACCTTTGCTCTCATTACTTGGGGTTGGCTGCATGGATCAATTTCTTCCAATTGGTTCCATTTGCAGTTATATCCTAAGTTAAAGGGTTGTTTGGGATGACCTAAATAAGTGCACTTTTTGTCTTTTTACGAAAAGATGTGCAGAAAAGTAGAGGGATGATGTGATGAAAAAAAGATAAAAAGTGTGTACTTATTTAGGATAGCCAAACTTGGCCTAAATTTAAAATAATCATGCCATTTCCTATCACCTCAATCTAAGTTCTCCACGGTTGTCCCTTATTTTGTTTGCCACCTCACATGGATCAAATTACTCGTTACTAGCATGTTAATTGGTCACAACCATACTATCTTAAACAACTTCTTTGATCTCATTTTCAGTCGAGTTTGTAAATCCATTTTTTATGGTCAACTAGTGAAACAGTGCCACCTCATGAAAGGAATTGAATTTTATCAAAGTTTTGATACTCACACATACACCGAATCATCTCCCTTCACCTTCTCTCTATCTCTCTGCAAATCTACTACTCGATCTCTTCTTCTTCTTGCAACCAGCGACTACCCACCACTGAAAATCACGCTCCACTGCTTTCCGGACCCCAGACCGACGACCCATCACCTTCTTCCCCATTCCTTTCTCCTCTTCCCACTCACGCCCAACCTCCATTAGTGAGCCACTGCCATCTGTATGGGCATGCATGATTGAAGTCCTAGCCAAGACAATAGCAAAGATTGAACAATGAACACCCTTGATCAACGAAGACATAGTTCCGATGAGAAATTGATGACTGCGAGTGCTGAGTGGTTTTTGATTTTGGTCGTTTGATTGTGGTCGATGGCTGTGGTGGTGAATGCTGAAAATGGAGAAGGGAAGGGAAGGCATGGCAGGTCCATCCATGGTGAGAAGAAAAGGGGAGAGAGATGATTACATAAGGTAGGGTGCATGTATGAAAGTGTTAAAATATTAGTGAAATTCACATTTTGATGAGGTGGCAACATTTGACTGGCTGTCTGTAAATTTAGACTTTATGGGACAGCTGTGTAGAATTCAATCCCTTTTCAGTTTGTGTTACTTTTAACTTCATCCTTGTAAATTCATTTCTCAATTTATCTTTGTTTGTATCTCCTCTCATCCTTCTCAATATTTTCATTTCAGCTACACTTATATTTTGAACATATTTTTTTCTTAACCACCCAACATTTAGTAACCATACATCATAGCAAATTTTATAGTAGTATTTTAAAAATTTCCTTTCAACTAGTAGGAATACTATGACCACACAACACTCCATTTCATTCATCCCACCTAATTCCATTTACCAAGATATCAAAAATTATCTCTGTTAGGTATCTCATGCCCATCAAGTTTTACTCTACATTCATTCTTATCTTTAGTTTTGCTAACACTCCATAAATTCTACCTTAGTCTTAGTTGACCTAGACCATTTATTAAAATTATCTCTCCACAATAAGCTTAAAATCTACTCTTCGTGTTCCGTTATTGATCATTGCTATAAACTTATAATTATTGGAATTTCAATAGTTTATAAATGATATATGCTGTCCTTGTAGGAAACTGATTGTTGGGTAAAGGTCCATACTCTATAGTGGCACTTTTATTTTGAGTGGAAATCAGAAATGAGAGAGAAAGAAAAAAAATTGATATTTTGTTTCATTTTCTAGATGGAAGTTGGAGACTTGTTGTTTGAGGACAAGGACATGTTGACAAAAGATAGTATCCTAGTGTGAAGATTTCTGTATTTACATTTCCACAGGAATTTCAGTTTGTTTGTTTGTTTTTGTTTTTTTTTTTATACCTTTTTCCAGTCTTTGGAATTCGGTCACTTTGCTGAACTTATCAATTTTGTGAGTCATTATCAAACTGAATGCAGTCCAAAGTCTCCGAACATAATTTTTCTGCTGAATGTTTGGGTATTTCTTTGTGTGTTGTTGAAATGATCTGTTTTTGTGATCTCAAAATGCTCAATTTAAAAATAATACCCCCTCAATTATTTATATGCTCAAATGATTGCTTGTTCTACCTGTTTACTGTTGAGTAAGATGGATGTGCATGAACATGCCATTTTATTAATGGAATCCTTAGTTGAGGTTGTTGCCAATCCTTGCTGTTAAAAAATACTGTATTATTGATTGATATGTGTTGTTATTTTCTGTCTATTACAAATGGTTCCTTATATAGATGTAGGTGTAGTGGATGGTGGTAGTGGTGTAGTGGGTTAGGTTTAGTGGAGTAGGTGAGGTGGTAGTGGTGTAGTGGGTTAGGTTTAGTGGAGTAGGTGAGGTGGTAGGTGATGGTAAATTCTAACACTTGCCATGTTATCTTCTTGAGTTTTCCCAATTCATATAGTAATTCGAGGCCACTTTGCTGACTTTCATATGTATTGGAAAAGGCAGTTTATGCTATGATCATTATGAGGTTGTCAACAAAAATTTGCTACTTAGTAGTGGTGCCATGCTAATTGCTTTAGTTTTTGTAGTGGTGTTAGACTTCCTTCTGTAATTTGGCTGGCCCATTATTTGGATTTGTACATGAATCAACAAAAGCTGTGTGTGTGTGTGTGTTTTTTTTTTTTTGGTTTTTTCAAATTTTGTGCAGGTTCCTATACAAGTTAACAAATATTTAGCATATAGTGATGGGATGAGGGTCATTGAATCTGCGAAGGTGTCAATTCAGACCTCTTCTTCAGATGGCCTACTATTTACTGAACTGGACCGGTAATTTTTTATTCCTTGGCTGCGATTGTTTTTATTCTGTTTGTTTGGGGGCATTCTATGCATTTGATGTAAGCTGAATTTTGATGTGTTTGGTAATTGGAAGATGTAGTTTGATGATGTACTTTAGATTTCTAAAGAGCCAATAATTGTGAGGTTTATATATGACTACCTTGAAATGTGTTTTCATTCATTCATGCCAATCCACCGGAAGGAATGTACAATTCAGAAAAACTTAGTTTATTGAGATTTCATCATAGGCTATTTTAGTAGGCTTTGGAAATGAATAAACAACTTGTGATGAGAAGATAGGGATTTTCATGTTATGACACCATCTTATCAATCACACTGAGAAATTCTATGTTTTTTTGGTTGAAGTTTGCGTTTGTTATTGTGAGAGAAAAGGTTCTCATGTATGTTGATATGCTGTTACATGCCAGGCCAAGTGGCCAGCCATGCATTGAAACGAAGGAATTCAATCTTGTGCGCAACATGCTGATTGCTGCTGTTGAAGAACGGTATGGAGATGCAGGTATGCTTTCTTTTGATCTATTAGCATGTCTTCGTTTCTTCCATTTAAACCCATGTTTTACAAGATGAAAGCAATTATTTTCCTTCTCTATCTCTCTTGGTTGGTTGGGGAGCTGGGGTTTGTTCCATAGCTCTGTGATATCATGATATTTAAGATATTAGTACCTGGGGTTGAAATATTGTTTGTCGTGACATTTGAACTCAACTTTTTATAAAGATGAAATCACAAAAAGTCTCTGTAGAATGTCATCTAATCCTAGTAACGAACATATTCAATAAATACTCATTTTAAATACCTTAAATGAGTAGAAAAAATTATAAGATTTCATATTTCCTTTTCGTCGCTGTGTGCGCTTAGATATATATGTAATTTTTGGGGGGCTGGAGGTGGGGGATGGGGTGTTGGTGTATGCTTGAACAAGAAGAGTCCCAACATCGAAAGAAAAGTAAAAAGGAATGAGTCTTAATATACATTGGATGAGTTTCAAATGTGTATTGGGCCTAAGTGTTGCACAGGTGGACTCAGTTTCTCCTCAATAATTTGGGATGTCATGGCATGTTAAGAATAGTGATCTCTTCGAGATCAGTTCATTCTGGAATCAATATATTTTCCTAGACACGATCCATACACCATTGAGAATTTGAGGAACTTGTGCAATCCATGGCTTTTATCTATAGACAAGGTAGTCAAAGGAATCCTCTATTATCAACCAAAATACTGTGCACGGACTCAAGCAACTGTCAAATTTTTTTTTTTGGTTTTTGTTTTTCCTCCATTTTATATTTATTCAATTATTGATTACAGATTTTTCTCCATATTTTTCCTTGTTTTGGCCCCGTTGAACGTTTCATGGAACTTGAAATATGAGTCAATTGTGCTTTTGGCAATATTTTGGTGGTTGGCGTTTTATCCAACTTCACCATTGCTTGAGAATGGGTCTTTCTAGGTTTTGAATTCTTCATATTACTCCGCTAGCTTGTGCATTCAAATGCTGTGGGTCTTTCATAGGGCTAAAAGTTGGGTCAAGCAAGCTTGAACAATTGAATAAGTAGTTAACTACTATTGAACAGTGGGGATGATATATTAAATTTGATTATGCTATTATGATGTTTTGGCATTCTCTTCATGACGCCTCTTTTGAAACTAAAAATTATTATGTGATGTCATTTTATATGGTCGGGTTTTCTGATTTCTTGGGCTTCTTTGAAGTCCGAATGGTCCCATTTTTCCTTCCCTGGTATGCTTGATGTTTCCTCACCACTATTGGAGTTTTGAGTCTCCTTATTTTGTGGTATATTACAGCTCAATGGAGGGACAAACTCACTCAACTTAGGTCCAAGAGGAATTGGATATAGCAGGTACAAGGCTTTGCCATTTTCTTCCAATCTCATTTTAAATAGTGTTACATTGTGATTACACCATGGCCCTCTCTCTCTCTCTATCTCTCTCTATATATATATATTCTACCAAATGAGATTCTGCTCATTTTTGTGCATCAGGTGTACCAATAAGGATGAAAATTGTACATATAAACCATTGGTCAAGTTGATGAGGTGGGCTTCAATTCCAGCAATATCAATGGGGTCTCTGTGCCCCGTCATGTATGTAGAGGCTTGTGCATATCTGTATAGACAGACAATTTGACCGTTAGTCCAATGTTGAATTATGTGAAACTTTCTCGTTTTTCTGACTATATGTATTTCCCGTGTTTCCGTAGATATACTTTCTGTTCCATGCCTCAGATTTCTTGATGTCTGCTCCTTCGTTGAGTTGAATGTATGCCTTAAGGCGACTTTACTGGTTCATGTTTTTAGCGCCAGACTAGACACCACTGATTTGCTCACTCAAGTTTACGTGCATGTGATTGTTGGTGAAAGTTGACATGGTAAATCCAATTTCATTCTTCTCCATTTCCCACCTAGCCGCCCTTCCGTAACAAGGTGGCTCAAGAGGGAGGGAAAAATGCTTAGAAGAATATTTTTCTTGAATATCATTCAAATAAGTTTTGGATTGCCTAGTATTCCACCAATTAATAATGCAAGATTCTAGACTTCTATTAACCAAGGGTCATCCACCAGCTCTTCACGGGACAGAAACTTTGATCTTGGTCCTTGTGGCTTTGCTTAAAAGGTTCGACATGGATGGCTAGAGGGGGAAATATTTGGAGTGGATCAGACCCTTTGATCAAATGTTTTATTGAAAGCCATGAAAGATGTTAAAATGAAGTTGGGAATTTTATTTTGATCAAGCAAGGAATGGAGGTTTCTCAAAGCTTATGATATATTATCCTTCTTTACCAAGATAGATAGCAATTATAAGAAACTAAAGAAAGCTACAATTTAATAATAACTTTACAATTTAAGATTGGTAAAATTATTTGTGTTTAAAGTTTGGAATCACTCGGAAGATACAATCATAGAGAAGGGGGAATCATATATTAAACACTTTATTTTATTACCTAGATCAATACCATAAGGAGCTACTTATATAGACAAGGAGGAGCATTTTAGAACCAACTTATAGGATGCATGCAAGACACCTTTATTTAATATTATTATTCATTTGCATGCGTTGTCACTCTTACTCATACAATTACCGGACAAGTAGTACAAACATAAAGGACAAACAATACAAGTATTCGCATGTCTTACATGTTACTTTGCATTATTACAGAAGCCGATAATACGTTCATAGTACACAGATTAGACACTCACATAGTTTCACTATGTTTCTAGATACCAGTCAAAATCAAAAGGTGTATTATCAGAATTTGAGGTAGTGTCATCAAACTGGCATTTATTGGGTCATCTTTTATTTAGAACACGATAAATTGGATGATCATGATAATCAGACCATCTGTCATGATGTCGAACAATAAGTTCTACGAGGGGTTGGACATAATCGAGATGAAGTTGATACTCATGTATTTGGATCGATGCCATTAGTTGTGCAGATGCGAAGTTGATTGTTGTGGAAAATTGCAAGTTCATGGAAGTATGTCAAATCATCATGACCACCGTGAAGAGTAGCACGGTCAAAAACCGTTAAACCTGGATACCATCAATAATGGGAATGAATTCTCCTGCATAAGCATGAGTGGCCAACACAAAGGGTCAGTTTTGGAACAACTTAAAAAAGTTTAACTTTCGTTATAAAAAGAGTACTGCTATTAGCACTCCATCAATTATTTTAGACCTTCTATTTTTTAGTTATTTATTACAATAATAACCTCAAATGAAATTACTAAAAAGGATATCAATAATTTTCGAACACCCCATCTCACAATTAAGCCTACACACCCATTACATCATGAGTTAGAATTTATGAGAGCACCCACCTTCATCACCATCTATCAATCTTCTCCAAATCTCACATTCAAAACCTACCCACCCTTAAAATCTTGAAAACCTTTTGACGGTAATATTCTGGCGGTAACGATGACAACTATTTGATTATCTACACTTTTTTGGCAATGACAACGAGTGGAAGTTTTTTCGGCAACCACAACTCCATGAGACGAGAGGAGTATAACAATAAAAGCTCAGAAAAGGTTCATAGCTTTGACGGTATTTTTAGCTCAGAGAAAATTGGCATTGTAAGGATAAGTTTATTGAAAAAAATGGAAAAAATAATAAAATCTGTTCGTCATTTTTTTGGGACTGAACTCCCAAACATATGACCAAAATTCGGGAATATAGACCCGTACATTGTTTTTTTGTTCGGGAATAGGAAACCGAACATTTCTTATTTGTTCGGAAACAGATAACCGAACATTATTAATGAACTTTTTTCAAACTTTAAAATTACAAAACCTAGGTAAGATAAGGAATAAGAATTGAAACTGTCAAAAAATTCAACGAAACCCACTTGAGAGATCACAAATCCCAGCTTGTGGAGATCACATAACCCACAAAAAGGGAATTTTGAATCAATAACAAAAAAATCTTACATTTATTTTTTCAGGTCATGAACAAGTATGTAAAGATAAGGTAGCAATCACCTTCATGGGTTTTGTTAGAGTGCATTCAAATGAATGGCTGAAATTATTTCACAAGGATAATTTTGGTATTATTTGGGAGGAGAAAAGAAATTTTAAGGGTTTTAAAATTTATAAATGGGGATCCAAAGAAATAAGGGGTTCAAAATAATTGATAGGGTGCTAATAACAACACTTTAAAGCAAATTCTACATTGTAAATTTGTCACAATTAACCCAAATTTCTTACATAATTTCCAAAACCCTCAACACCAATTAATTCACCAACCAAACTAAAAGGCAAAATAAAAAATTTTAAAACAAATTAAAGGGCAAAATAGGCTACAAAATTGGCTTTTTTGATTTTTTTTTTAAGTGTAAAAAAATAGAGAGGTGATGTGACTCAAAAGAGGCCAAACTGTCACGTCCCATATTTTATTACTCAAATAACATGACCAATATTCATTAATTAAGTCCATTTACAAATGACAATTCATCTTTTAATGAGTTGATGAATAAATAAATATACACGTTCTCTCTCGTTACACAACCGTGTCATTTACATACAAAGCAAATAAATGCCCTGAGGCTTACATGCATTTACATACAAGAAAATACTGATCTCTGAACTACAAGTATATTTTACAATCTCAAAATAAAATCATAAGACTGCACAAGAAGGAAATTCCATGTCCTGATATTTGAAATCTTCAATTACTTGTGAAATTCATCAACGTGGGATGAACACTAATGCCCAGTAAGAATCTCATAGTTCTAAAACAATAACTAACACATAGATAGAAACAATCATGCATGCAAGGTGATACTATATAATAATGTGACGTTTTGTATGCCCAAAATATTATACGTAGAGTATTATTTTCTCAAAATTCATTTGAACATTTAAGAAATTTTTTTACCATAAATATTATCTTTCATCATCAGAAAAACCATAAGTCTTCTTTGAAAATAAGTATACTTAAAAAACAACATCATTTTAAATTTATTAATCCAATTCCAAGACATTCCTCATTTCATTTTCATTTTACAATTCACAATTATTATAACTCTATAACATTAAAGTCCAAGTTCCCCTTATATTAAAAAACAACCGTTGTACACTCTATTCCCACTTGTCTATCCGTTACATCACATCAACATTTCTATCATCAATAGTAATTTAACTTAAATCAAGAATATAAATCCATTTTAATTCAATTTCTCAAATATTTACAATTGATTTCAAATCCCTCTTTCAAATAAACATTCGTCTTCAATTTATGAAATAAATCCTCGACCTGATTGAAAACCCACTTTAGACCAAAATTTTGAATCTAGGGTTTTAAAGAAAATTAGGGCTATTCCTCATCTTTTTCACAAAATCTCCAAATCATCATAGATTATTCATCAATTCGTCATAATATTCAAAACATTTCAAACTTGAGCGAAAGTCCCATTTTTCTCTTTTATATATTTCAAAACAAAAATTTCAACTCATACATAGCTATAACTATGAAGATACCACATAAACACACCAAATCATAGATATACAAAAATAAAGGTATTCCTACTTCGTTTTTTTCTCCTATGCTTTCCTAAAACATCTTATTAAGAAGACTCATCATTTACAAGATTAAAGGATTCATCTCTCATAAAATCATTCTTCAAAAGTTCAGACAAGATTCTTCTTTTTTACTTAAACTTCCAACCCAATTATACCACAATTACTATAAGTCCACATTCTTTAACTTAAATTAATATTACTATTATTCACAAAATAAAACTCATAATCTTCACTTTTGGTCACAAAACAATCCGGTGAGTTCATCATCATCAACTCCTTACCCAATTACCATTTCATTTTCCATTCTTTTCAAGTAATTTATATATGCATTTCTCCACTATACAATATCACACAACAAATTGTAATTTCATAAGTTCATTACGAGTCATACACATTATCGTTGACTCAACACATTTCTCAACACGTTCCACCTTTTGCAGGCTTGATACGGCGGGATAGCGGGCACCCGACATTCATGTTTTCCACATTTGCCGGCTTGATACGACGGGCAATTGGACACCCAAAAATATTTCTTTTTCCACATTTGCCGGCTCGAAACGACGGGGCGATTGGACACCCAAAAATATTTCTTTTTCCACATTTGCCGACACCAGAAACGGCGGGGACGTGGACACCCAAAATCATGTTTTTTCACATCTGTCAACTCTAAAAACGGCAGACTCATGGACACTCAAAAACATTTTCTCATATTCGTCTGGCGATATTCGCAGACAGGGCAATTGGGTACCTTGGTTCCGTGCACAGGTACCCATTACAAAACAACACAACCCAACTCAACTTAACTCAACATAACTCAACTCAACACAACTCAACTCAACACAACTTAACTCAGCTCAACATAACTCAACACATTTCTTAAATCTCCACTTCATCATTTCATCAAAAATCTCATATCATCAATACAATTCACAATTCAAAATCCCCAAACTCAATCTCATCTCATAACACAACTTAGAATATTAACAACAAGAGTTCAATCGCAATTTTTACATGGATTTTCCAAACAGTTTCAAAATTCAATTAAACATGGATATGTGTAATTTAACACCTCAACTTTATGACGCCACTTTCAATTTAAGCAAAAACCATCAACCATCTTTATGAGCCGAACTAGGGTTTTGGAAGAAATTGAAGCTTTTCACAAAAACACTTTTTATTTCAACTCTTCTATTCATCATTCACCCAAAATCATAACCCAACCCAAAAAGGTAAACCCCAGAACATCAAACCTAAACCCCCAATCTCATGATTTATCACAAAATGCATAAAAGATAAATTTTGTATTAGGAAAAATACCACAAATCTATCCATAAATGAAAGTATTAAAAGAGAACTAGATATCCCTACCTCAAAAGAAGAAAAGATGAGAAAACCTTTAAACAGACGGCTCAACGCTCGGCGCAAGACCTACATATCACACATAGCATGTACTTGAAGATTTAGAACATAAACGATGCAACAAATGGCTTAAACCTAATTTCAACCTTATGCCTAACTCAAAACATTGCTAACATGCTCTTAGAGTGCTAAAATGCAAGTTCTAGATGTCCTAAGGGGTCCCATATGCAAGAAAACATGAAAAACATAGTCAATTGAAAACTTAATCCATGAATCAAGCCTAATTTAATGATTTTTACTTCGTAAATTTGAACATAAAACTCATCTTCAAAATAATATTTTCAAACTCAAATTAACCAACCTCAATAGAGTCCCAAAGCTCCAAAAATAAGTAAAATAATTTCAATTGAGAGAATAATTCAAGATTCAAAACAATCTCCAAGTTTTCTGATTCGTAAATTTAACATGAAAACTCATCTTTAAAAATCATCAACAAACTTCAAATTCCTTTCATAAAATGAGTCATAAGGTTCTTAAAACATGTTAGATAACATCAATTGAAAGATTTATTCAAGATTCAAAACAAAATTTCAAAATCTCTCATTCGCTATTTTAAACATGATGAAACTTTCTTGAATCTTCAAATACACATGCAACAAATGCTATAAACACAATCAATGCAAGATTTCAAACTTAAATCTACAATAAATGTAATGATACATGGATGATTGTGAGTGAATGCATGAAAATCCATCTATTCCAAACCCTAGCATACAAAACTCATGAAATCTCTCCTCAAAACTTTCATACACATGCAATTGATCATACAAAACTGGATTGATACATGATTTCTGTCATAAAATCATGAAAAATGCATGAATACAATGATGAAACACAAGATAGATGAATGAACTCATCAATCTCAAACCCTAGATGGCAAAGTTCCATGAACTTCTCTTCAAAACCCAAAATACAAGCTCTAGTATGTGAATTCATGCAAAACAAGATCAAAATATGAAAAAGATGGAGAAATCTTACCTTAGGATGAAGAAATCAAGAAGCCCTAACTTCTCCTCTTCCTCCTCTCTCTCAACATAAAACACACAAGCTAACACAACTCACTCTACATCTCTGTTTAATCCAAAAAGATGATTAAATCATCCAAACAAGGCCTTAGCTTACAAAATTAAAATTAACGTAAAATAACTCATCAAACTAATTAAATATAGTTAATCTAATCATATACAACCCTTAATTACATTATTAAACTTGAATTAGGCCCATATCAATTAAATTACAATTATTCAGTCATATTTAAATTACTGAATCAAAAACTTATGAACACATAAATTTTGCAATTAAACATTAAATAATCATTTATATATAAATTTCATAGCTATAAATTAATCTCACATGTGTCAATTTAGATTGTGAAGTCTCATGCAAAATTTCTGAATCAAAATTAGCGAGTCAGACAAATTTTTCCTATCATAAATTAAATTCTCATACATGCAATTAAACATGTGACATGACTCATATGCAAATATCATGATTTTAAATCAATACTATACATGACAAATTAAATATTTAAGGTCTCATATTAGCTCTTCGGAATTGGAATTAATCTCTTTATCACATAATTCACGCAACACTTGTACTAACACATGAAAAAGCAATTATCACAAGGCTAATTAATGATTAAATAATCAATTAAGCAAAAGCAAGGTCAGGGTGTAACACAAACTAGTGAGAAAGTGGCGTGCCTCGCACGCTACTTAATGCCCATTACAATTAATTTAAATTTTAGTATTAATTTTATTTAAAAATATATAAAAAAATATTGTGTTAGAATATAATCTTTAATATGATGAATTTTCCATTACAAGTGTGAAAAAAGTTATAGAAGTTCAAATAGATGGATTAAATTTTTACCTTTACTCATTATGGATAAATTATAAATATGTTGCAATAATTAGTTGCTAATGTATCTTAGCATTAAATGGGAGAGATTTGGTCAAAATCCTATCATAATAAAACTTTATGCATTAAAGATAAACACAAAAAGTTTTCTTTGAAAAATTCAACACATACTACTATTACTAAAATATACTTGAATAATTTAATATTTTAAACTTTAAAATAATATAACTTTTGATTTAGATGTCAATTTTTAATAAAATTAATATTTTTAGAATTCTCTCATTAAGATCTATCAAACAAAATCCATATTGACTATGAAATTCTTAAAAAATGAAAAAAAAATATCGTCAAAATTGACGTAAACAGTAACATGTTACTTTGGTTCACAGTAACATTTTATTGTTACAAAAAACATAGTACATATTAGATAAACTAACTAAAAATACACATATACAACATTTTAAAACTTGTATAAAATAAAATAAAACTGTTTATCGTCAAAAGAGTTCTGTGAGATATATATATATATACACTGACAATATTGTCTAAGAAAAAAAAGGATCTGTCCTTATTCAATTATACACCTCCTCCTTAGGGGGTTTATGAAGCAAAATAAATTGGGTTGTCTTTTTCACCAAATAAGGATATAATGGAGGAATTTTAGCTAAATTTCCCTATTAAGTATATATTACAGTTAAAAATTATTCTACTAATAAAATTTAAAAATTAAAAAATTCATTTTTTAAAGTTTTGGGTAGAAATGTAAATTTAGCCCCTCGGCCCATGACCCATTTGGGCTTGGTGTGGCCCGGCTTGTTTAGGCCTGGTCAGGCTCGGGCTCGAGCCTAGCTCAAGACCCTGGGCCTAGGCCTGGGTCGTATGTTTTGAGGCTCGACTGGCCAAACCCGCGCCCACCAACCCGCTCCATGGCTCGCCCGGCCCACTCGAGGCTCAATGTCATTTTTAAGCTATTTTGGTAGAATTTTTTTAAAAAAAATAGTTAGGCCCGGCAGCCCGACCCGAGCCCCGCCTCGCGGCTCGATTTTGAGTGGGCTTGGGTCTGGGCCAAGATTTTTCCCATGTGGGCTGGCCTAACTCGAAAATTGACGGGAGCTCGCGAGACCCAACCGTGAGTCGGGCCGGACTGGGCCAAATTTACACTCCTAATTTTGAATAGTCTTGTCTTTCTAATGTTCTAAAAAAAAGGGAGACCTTTTTGCTCCCTTCTATAATAAATAGTAAGGCACTTGAGTAATTTAATTATATATTAAAATAAATATAATTATTAATATTTATAATATTTTTTAACTGACACATGTCAGTGTAATTCTCTCTCTCTAAAAAAAAAAAAAAAACTCATCATTAATTTTTATTTTTTATTTTATAAATGTAATGATGTACTTTAGTTTATTTCATTTGATTTTTTTTTACCAACTTTGGTTTATTTCATTAATTTTTTTTCACCAACTCTGGTTTGAAGACATTTGTTCATCCATTTTAGATAGGTCTTTCCTTTTTTTATTTGTGATTATTTGGAATTCACCTAAGGATAGTTGTGAGACTTTTTGTGTCTTGTTTATAATGTTTGTAAATAATGTAATCGGACTATGATCTCGTGGACGTACTTTACATTGAGAAAACTATGTAAAAATTCTTGTGTTGTTGATTTAATTTTTTTCGTGTCACTTCTATTTATTTCGATTGATAGGAAAATCATATTTTTCCCTAACACATCCATGCAATCTATTTTCTTGTTAATTTGATCTTGAACAATGTTGAAATGTACAATTCTCCAATTATAAATTATGATCATTGAAAAAAGGGTCTGTGAAAATGCTTAATCAAAGTAAATCCAATAATGATGAAAACACATAGAATAGCCAGAGGTATAGTTAGTGAGATTAATAACGAAACGTAATAACAAAAATTTTACTCATTTTTTCTTTACCACTATTATTTCTTTTCATTTTGTTAATTTCTTTTCTCCCAAAGTCCAAATAACAAATTAAAAACTTTTGTTAGTTTGTTTGTGTTTTAGGGTTTAGGGTCTTTAATATCCATTATAATTGCCACATCTAACCGATAAGGGCCACACCACTAAGAAGAAAAAAAATTAAAATATAGACAAAACTAAATAGGGAAATTTTGTAAGAATTTGTTCTTAATTAGACTACCATTGACTATATTTTGTTTGGTTTGTGTAAAACAAGTTAAAAGTGATTCGGACAGATTGACTTACATGAGTCTAAAATTATTATTGTGATCCATAAAGTTTTAGGCCATGGTCCATCTTAGTGTATTTATTGTTTGATATGTGGGTATGTAGTATGGAGGTGTAAAGCCTGTTTTAAATTATTTGGGTTCCTTAATGGGAGGGCCCAATGATTGTTTTATTTAGGCCTGGTCCCCTCTCCCATCCTATTGGGGTTTGCATATATTTATATATATGTGAATCAAAGAGTTGTTAACCCTATTGAAAGACAACATAAAGATTAGGAGAAGGAGGGGAAGAATTGGTGCTAAGGTTTTTTTGATTGTGAATACCATCTTCGTTCAAGAAAGCAAAATTCAAGACAATAGGCATTACATATCATGGATTTTTCTTGCTCCATCAAGAGTTTTTGTGTAAGCCCAAGTCCACCAACATTAATGCTTCATAAGAGTCCGCCCATAAATCGTCCGATATTGGCTCTGATACCAATTGTTAAGGAATTTAGGAGCCTACAAGCACACATCAATACCAGCCCAATCTACTAGAGAGAAACTCTAGAGTTCACAAATGCCATATTAAGACCCAATATACATTATTTGAAACTTATACCTACTTAAAAACTTAAGCCTATAAGTAGAGAGTTCATCTAATATATATTAAGATTCATCTATTTTACTCTTTTTATGATATGGGACTCTACCTTCACACATGCTCCAATACTTATTTGTTTAAACTCTTTTTAAAATTTTTAATTCGGAAAACAAATGTAAAACATTAATATTATAAAAGTCATCATGTTTTCAAAATTAACATACTTTTGTAAAACCTATGAAATTATCAATCCAATTCCATAATCATCTTTTTGTTGTTGTTGTTGAGAAAATAGTAATATTGGTATAGAGTATTATACAGGATTATTGTTTGTAGACTTAGCCAAAGTCTCTAAATATCTACTAATACCTAAATATCTATAATAATTGTAGCCACAATATTGCATTATGGATTATATTTTCCATTAATAATATTATTGCTCATCAATTAGACATAATTAAAAAAATAACATAATTTTTATTTTTTGAGTTATAATTAAAAAAATGTCATAGCTGAACACATGATGGGGTATAATTAAAGAATTCACGAGTCATAACTAAAGAACAAAATTGGTCATAACTAAAGAATAAAATGGCATAATTAATGGTGCATATGGTACACCATTTTTAAATGGGTGTATATTAGAATTTCCCTATTATAAATCCTGATTAACTACTTAGAAACTATCTGGAATTATCTTTTTGTGGTTGATATTTATTCTACCTATGACTCCTATACTATACAAATTCAATCACAACCATGTAATTTTATTTAGAATAAATTCGAGAAAGTTAAAATTGGGTATCTAATTGGTGGTGTTGAGTGGTTTTGTGGTTCTTGGTTTTTTACGTGGTTTTGGGAGAGTGATTGTTATATATTGATAGGAATTGGCAGATTGAGAATGAAGGGGTAGGGTGTGGTAAGGTTTTTGCAGTGGCCTTAATGGGTAAAAAAATGATATATGTTTGTAGGTATGAAGTGTGTTAAATTAGCAGATTATATGGTGATCTATTGGCGAATTATTATATAATTTTGATATGGCATTGATGATGGTGAGATCTAATCATGTTGTGGTCATGATATTTGTCGCACTTGAATTTTTGTCCATCCTATTCAAGATGAATTAGGACTTTATGCGACAAAAAGAATACAATTCAATAGTTGAAACTTAAATCGTAGGGTTTTAAAGAAAAATTTGGAGTCGCCATCTAACATGAAATTCAGATGTGTTAGGTCACCTAAAACTGTCAAAATTCGCAATCTTATTTTGGGGATGAATTTGATAGTGATTTCCATTTTGCCCTTTGAAAAATCAAAGATGAGTTCGGGGGTTTTTTGGTACGGGTAAGGAATGTGTTAGGCACCTTACACCGCCTTTACGATACTGTATTTCCAAATCTATTGATTTCT